CACTCAGCTGGCAGTACCATACTGTTAAGGGGACTACACTGCTAACAGGACCACGCTGCTAACAGTGCCACTCTGCTAGCAGTACCATACTGTTAACGGGACCACGCTGCTAACAGAACCACATTGCTAACAGGACCATGTGGCTAATGAGACCATGCTGCTAATGTAGCCACTCTATTAACAGAACCACAATGCTAACAGGACCATGTGGCTAACGAGACCATGCTGCTAGCAGAGCCACTCTACTAACAGAACCATATTGCTAATAGGACCACGATGCAAACAAGACCAGCTGCTAACAGAACCACATTGCTAACAGGACCACGCTGCTGACTGGACTACGCTGTTGACAGAACCACTCTGCTAGCGGGTCCATGCTGCTGGCAGGACAGCATCATGCTGCAAACAGAAAGTGTTTTTATAACACAACTTTTTGTTTTAATTGTTTTAGTTGTGTATTGTTGTCTGTACTTTATGTGATGTCTGTCTAGAACAAGTCTCTCTTGAAAATGAGTCCTCATTACTCAAAGAGACTACCTGTTTACATAAAGGTTAAATATATATTTTGTAATTGCCACTATTAATTTAGTGGCAATAGCTTTGAGTTAAACAAACATTGCTATTAAACCAGTTTAAGACGGGCACAAAAACAACACAACCTCAACAAATTGCTTACTTTTCTTCAGTTATGACAACTGTTCTTATTTTTGTAACGTTTCTGACAAAAACATAATATATATTTTTTATTTAATTTGATTTCTTAACAATTGTTGCATGACCCTATAATTGCTGTTTCATGACCCACAGTGGATCCCCAACCCCTCACTTTGGCAACGCTGGTTTAGAGTAGCTTTTGGCTTCATCAATTTATCCTCCAGTTTACTTCATGAACATTCTGAACATTAAAAGTTTTAAACATTTATTGCCTCGGGGCCCTGCCTATTTGTTGCTGCAATTGTGGTTATGAGAAAAAAAAAACACTTCTGGAGGCCTTAAAGTGACACTCAACCCCTCCGCCCAAGCTAAAGGGGCTTTACGTTGCTTCGTCCGGCTTCAGATAAACACATTCAGGGTGAAGGCCCTGACATATATCTGCTGTAAGAGGAGACAAAGACGACAACAAAGGCCTTTCACCCTCAAGTCAGCGTGTCCGTCATCGGCTCATTGTGGGTCCCCTGCTGGACCGCACAAAACAACACGCCTGTTTATCTGCACAGCAG